TTTAATTTTTTATTAACAATATTTCTTTTCTGATTATGACAACATGCATTAATTATTATTTATTATGGTTATATAAAATTCTCACGAAAACTTTTCATTGTAATAGTGATGACTTTGTTTTCGTATATTGATTATTGTTGGAGCAGTTTTTTGTTGGAAAATGACAACATTCGTTGTTGATCTATTACTCATTGTTGTAATTTGAAGAACACATAATAGGACTTTATGACCCCTTTACAACAATCGGGGTTTCATTAAGCTAATGAACATAAAATTACATGGATAAGAAAATTCACAACTTATTCATTTTGATTTTAACGACAACCCACTATAAAAAATCTTGAAATGCCTAACATAAAAATTTAGTGTCACCAGTGTTTATAATAATTCAAGTGTCTTTATAATAATGCAATCATGAATGTCTTTATAATAATGCAAAGCACTTTGCTCGCACAAAGACGACGACAAACCCTACAGTGATATGTTTCCAAGAGGGATCACCAATATGTCTTATCGAGTGCATCATTTCTACAATAGTATCCAACATATCAATGTGTACTCATATTAGCCCTACTAACCACAACACAAACATGAGCACATGGAAACATATTGACAGAAATTAATTTCATTATGATAAAGATGATGTCATTATCAAATACATGAAATAAACAACATTCATAATTTTAATATGTGAATACATTTTCATTAGCATAATGAATACGGAAATGATGATAAAGATTTAAAACAAAATATAGACATGCAAAAAAACACAAGAATTGAAAAATATCATTTAGTTCTCCATAGTATACCATTTAGAAACATCCGTTTGACAAGCTTCTACTAGTATCAATTAGTTCTCCATAGAGTATACCATTTTTGTATGGAAATAATATGTCCATTGTGAACACAATAAGCATTATACAATCGCAATGAAAACACAATGTTACTTAAAAAAACAAATTTTCATCATGTTAATGATAATGTCATTATGAAAAATAGTAATTATTCTCTGAACAAAAAAACACCCAAAAAAAAAGGTTAGGTCATGTAAATGTTGCCTCAATTAAAAGAATGGAAAAAATAGGGCTTACATCTAATTTTTTCAAAAAATATGCGCTGAAGCAAAAACAGAGAAAAAAACCTTTCAAATCTGTAATTCGAGAAACACTTAAGCTTGGTTCATACTGATTTGGGTGTCTTTAATAATTATCTAACACGTCGTGGAAAAATATATTATATTACCTTTGTGGATGATTATTCTAGATATACCAAATTATTTTTATTAAGAACAAAAGGATGAAGCTCTCGATACTTTTATTAAATATAAAGCTGAGGTAGAGATTCAATTGGACAAAAGAATTTAAGAGATTGAGGCGAGTATGACTCTACTTTATTTTCAGAATTATGTAGTAAATATGGTATAATTCATGAAGTAACAGCTTCATATACTCCTGAACAAAATGGAATTGCTAAAAGGTAAAACAGGACTTTAGAAGAAATAGTTGATGCTCTTCTATGTAGTTCGGTGAGGCAATTTATACTGCAGGTCATATTTTAAACAGAGTTCCTAGTAAGAAGTTAGATGTGACTCGTTATGAGCTATGGAAAGGATATAAACCAAATCTGCATATCTCAAAGTGTGGGGTTTTGTCTAGTTAAGACAAATTAAAAGAAAGAAGATTAGTCAAAGGTAAAACAGGACTTTAGAAGAAATAGTTGATGCTCTTCTATGTAGTTCGGTGAGGCAATTTATACTGCAGGTCATATTTTAAACAGAGTTCCTAGTAAGAAGTTAGATGTGACTCGTTATGAGCTATGGAAAGGATATAAACCAAATCTGCATATCTCAAAGTGTGGGGTTTTGTCTAGTTAAGACAAATTAAAAGAAAGAAGATTAGTCCTAAAACTTCTTATAGTATTTTTATTGGTTATGCGCTTAACAGATTTTTGGTTATAAAAATCAGAAGTTCTAGAACCAAATACCATAATAGAAGCTCGACAGGCGGAAATTTTTGAAAATATTTTCCCAAAAAAGGTTGTTTTAAAAAAAATCCGTTTGACAAGCTTCTACTAGTAAAACTTCCGATGGTGTTGAATCTGAGCTTCGACGAAGCAAATGGGCTAGAATTGAAAAATCTTTTGGAGATGATTTTATCACTGCTTTACTGGTAGAAGATTATCCCACAACTTATCAAACAACAGAGAAAATCCCAAAAAAGAAATGTTGTTTAATTAAAGGAATCTTGAAAAATGATTCTACATATAGAGATGAGAAAACAAAACGAGAACAAAGAATAGAAACATGGGACTTTTTCTGGTGTTCCATCCTTTTTAGGAACACCGATATTTTATGTTTTTCAGTTGTCAGATATGTATCAGAATTTGTCTATTCTGTACACTTTTTTAATCTAGTGTGATTTTGATCAAATTTAACGGCTAAAAAAGCAAAGAACGCCAGTGTTTTTAAAAAAGATGGAACACTGGAGAAACTCCTTAGAAACATTTAGAGAGAGAGAGAGAGAGAGAGAGAGAGAGAGAGAGAGAGAGAAGTCGTCAGATATGTATCAGAATTTGTCTATTCTGTACACTTTTTTAATCTAGTGTGATTTTGATCAAATTTAACGGCTAAAAAAGCAAGGAACGCCAGTGTTCTTAAAAAAGATGGAACACTGGAGAAACTCCTTAGAAACATTTAGAGAGAGAGAGAGAGAATAATTGATTAGTCACGGTTTCGAATAGAAAATTTTGAATGTGCTATGTGCAATAGAGAAAGTTAAAGTTAATGCTTTTGAACGGGAAACTCTATTAAATCGCTCCGAAATAATTTAGATGAGATGGCGTAAAATAATTGATTAGTCACGGTTTCGAATAGAAAATTTTGAATGTGCTATGTATGTTTGGTGTTTTTTGCATGAATACTTCACATAGTGGACTATTTTATGACTATAGGACACAGTTTTAGCTTGGTTCATACTCGGACTCTCAGTAAGTAATTTTCCCTTGGTCATACGAAAAGATTGCGCAGAGTGATTTATCATGAGGAAATTTGCTTTTCTTTTTTTTTTTTAATGAATTAGATATTCAGGATTTTTTTTTTTTTTAAGAGCATGTCGAAGGAAAGATATCAAGAATTTTTAGGACATCACATAGGTTCCTGCATCAAACCTCCAACAAATATCATCAATTAATAAAAAAATAAAAAAAAAATTGCTAGAAAAGTAATGAACCAAAAAGACAAAGGATGCATCCCAAAGAAAATGAAGTATATGACTTAACTCAAGTCATATATATATATATATATATATATATAGATAAGCTTGTTGGATCACTGGCGTTCTTTTTCTTTTGAACAATATATTTTGTTGTCTCTCACAATTATCATGAAGGTAATCGGGTGGCTGATTAGTTACCGGCTAAAACGGTTCATATGGAAGATGCGGTAATAGACTTCTTCTAACTTGTGCATCTCTTATAGCTCTAGATATGGAGGGATTGTCCAGTTATAGATGTGTCAAATAGCAACATGGACGCCAAAATGAAGAAAGCAGAAGGAAAGCATCTTTGGAAAAGAAAAGAATTTAAAAAAAAAACTTTGTCAGGCCATCTCGCCGTGCCAACCGCGCGCATAGCCAGCGGGCACAGACTGGCAGGCCACCAGTCGAGAGTGTTATGCACCACTGTTGCCAAAGCAGAGCGCCCGTGCTCCTGCAGCGCGCCATACTGCCCCAGACCAGCAATGGCTACGCACCAGCGCATTATATAATCTGATTTCACGCTTTATGGCCTACTTGTAACCAAAAAGGTTAGGACTTGAGGATATTATGTTGCTAGATTTAGAATCTTGATTAGTAATTGTCTTGAATTTCTAATCAATAGCAACAATTGCAATTATTGATTATGGTCAAGTTTTCGTATAATTGCATGAAGAACATAACCCAGGTTGAATGATCCGAGCTTGTGATTGTTATCTAGATCAACTTATCTTTTCTCATCGTAATGCTTCCTTTGAATTGAATTTAGAGAGCTTGTTTTAGGTTGTTTGAGGGAAAAGAATTAAGAGTTTGTTTTACTTAACGGCGAACAAAGGAAAGATTGGAGTAACACGGCTTGTTGTTGTCTATGGTTGCTAATTTCAATAGGAAACTGGGAATAATATTATTGCTCATTATAATTTCATTGTCTTGTGGCGGTGAGTAATCCTTTAACCAATCTTTTAGTTATTGTGTTCTTTATTTATTTTCAAGATTTGATTTCTTCGGACCCTTAAAGAGTTAGTGGATCAACAGCCGCTATGCATTGAATACCCCAACCTTGAGGTGAACTTTGAGCTTAAGTTGGTATGATCCATATGTTACCTACTTTTCATGGCTTTGCAGGAGAGGATCCAAACAAGCACCTCAAGGAGTTTCATGTAGTACGCTCTAGTATGAAACCAACCAGGGTCTCTGAGGAACAAATTAGACTGCGAGCCTTTCCATTTTCACATAAAAACAGTTATGACTCAATATGAATAATATTACTCAACATGTAGGGCTCATTTGGTCATGATATGAATAATATGGATAATATTACACTGGCTAGGCAAGGCCTAGAATTATTTTTGGGGCAACATATTTCCTTCTCATAAGGTTTATATCCTCGTTGGCATGTATCTCACACATTAGAATGAGATTGGCTCTGAATACCATTAGAATTCCTGAATCTTGCTGAGATATTGTGCGTTTGTGGCCCCTAGTATTCATAAGCAAATCTACGCAAGAAAGTCGAAAATGCTTCTGCGTATAAGGTCCAAATAGTATTTCTTCCAGGTGCATGATTCTACAATTCCTTCAGCACAGGAACTAGGATAATTTATAAATCTCTTACAAAAACTTTATTCTCATAAGACCATTGCAAGCCATTAAGCTTAATAACAAGAGAAAAAGAAAGAAAGATGAAAAATTAGGGATCCAGCTAAACTGTACTATATATATGTGCGTCTTTCCACACTTCATGAATTGATAATAAAAACATGACAAAAATGAAATCCATAGTTCACAAATGATTCAAAATATAAAGACTCAAGTCCCAAATGATACTAGCGAGGATAGAGTTCAGATATTGATGCCTCATTTCTTGAACCTTCAACAGGACCACTGCTGGAATTATTTGATCCCGAAACATTAGATGCTAATGACATGTTTGGTCCTTCCGTACTTCGCATATAGAATGCTGGTTTTGAAGGAACTGCTAGAGTGAGAGACCGACTGATAAACATGAGAGCAACTGAATTCATGGTTGGTCTGTCAGTTATATTTTCTTGTACGCATAGCAATCCAATATGTATGCATCTCATTATTTCGCTTGTTGTACCACCTGATAGCGCGGTATCTACTATATTTGAAGCAGTTCCATCCTTCCAATTTGCCCATGCCTGAAATATTGTCAATGTGAAAGAAGAGTATATGTAAAACCCATGGCTTAAATTGAAAGCAAAACTACAAATTTGGGTTAAAATTTTAATTTTGTTAAACTTTAATGCAAACATTTATGAGATTGTGGTAAATTTATGAATTTTAGAAAGCTGGGGGCTAGGGGGGGGAAAAAACCTAGAAGCTTCCCACCTAATTTTTCTTCTCTCTGTCGTCCCCTCACTCTCTCACGATCACCTCTCTCTCTCACTCATTCAAACGCTCACGCTAATCTCACCCGCCGCCATCCTCCGGCCACCCACAGCCCCACGCGCGGGCCCAGAAGAACCGCCGCCCTTCGAAACATCCAATACCGGAATGCCCTGGCCCCACTTGCTGCCGGCGCTTCGGAAAAGCAATGGGAAGCCGCGACCCTCAAAAACTTCGGTCGCCCGTTTCTCCGTCTTCAGACTCCTGCTCCTCTGGCGAGCTACCCCGTTGAGTTCCCCTCGTGGAGAGGAACAAAACCCATCCCTTCATTGCTCCGATTGTCGCCGGAAACTTTTCGGTGTACCATCGGCTTCTGCTTCGGTTTTCGAGCGTTTTCCGGCCAATCGGACATCAATCGGAGAAACCGACACCGGATAAGTGTTCCTCGCTTCGAGACCTTCGATCTAGCGCCCCCCCCCGCCGTCCTCCGTCACGGTCAACGTTGGTCGATTCCGGTCAATGGCGGGTTTGACCGATCAACGGCGGGCCCGAGGCGCTGATTTTCGAGAAGTTTCCCTGTCCGATCTAATTTTTGACGTTCCGGACGTGTTCTCGACATTCAAATTGCAAGACGGGACTTCAAGACTTGAGATTGGCGATCAAAGTTCGGTCTTCTTATTTTGGTAGGAATTTGACTGCTCTTTTTTAATTTTATATTGAACAATTTTAGTATTTATATCTTGATGAATTATGTTTTATTTGGCATTAGAAATTGATTCGGGTTTTATTGTTATTGTAGATGTTGTTATTGTGATTGAGATTGCCTATTGCAAATTGATGTTTTAGTTGAAAATATTATTTTGATATGTTATACATTGCTCTGGTTGCGCGTCTTGCAGCTATGGCGCGTGTCGGAAATATTTTTGAAATTGTTTCTTACAGGTTATGAATTCACGGTTTCCTGAAAATTAAGGCATTATGCTGTCGAAATTTCCTTAGGAACTAACTATGGTTGACTGAGTCAGAGGACTTTGAGAGTGATTTGGTCTGTCCTTAGATGCAGAAATGCTATATCACCTTGGGCATTTGTTAAATTACTAGAGGACTTTCACCATGTAACGGGGTGCTCATTTGTTGAGCACAACAGATATTTACTACCGTAGTAGTACTATTATAAGACCTCGTTCATTTCACCGATTCGAGTTTTCAATTCTAATTTTGCTACCGTTAAAAGCTCTCATAAAAAGTCACATCCAACTTTTTCTGCTGCAGTTAAAAGCTTTCATATAAACACGAATTATAAACTTAAATCGGCAAACTAAACAATGCCTAAATATATGGACTCTCAATGGGGTGCTCATTTGTTGGGCACACCGGCATTGTCTATTATGTTAGTACCACTTTCTATACCTTACTCCTCTAGGACTACCTAACGGTTACCAAAAAATTGGTACGCGGACTCTTTCACGGGTCATTTCGTTTCTCCTCCATTACTAACAAAAAGGAGCGTTACTGACACTTTACAAGTGATAGATGTTTGATGATCTAACTGATCAGTAAGATATGTTTTGCTCTTGGTGATATTCATAATATTTTGGGAATTAATTTGTTATCATTTGTGATGTTTGGTTTGGGTGAGTTTTTATATTACTTCTAAAGTGAGATTGTTATTAGTTGTTATAGATTCCTTTTTTATATTTATTAATTTATTATTATTGTATTTTTAGAAATCAAAGTGTTAATCAAACATTTTATTTATTTTAATACATCTCTGTTTACTTTATGTTTGTTGATTTAAAATTTAGTAGTCGATATTCCTATTGGGCTTCTGCTCACCCCTCTTCCCTTTCAAGTGGTGTTCAATGCAAGCTAGACCGTCAGAGTAGCTAGATAATTAAGAAGTTTTGCAACTATTTCCTGGCAATATTCCTAAGAGAGGCCATGGAATATCTATAGCATAAACTAGTTATCTAATTATGTATTCATATTAGATTTTAGATCGAGAACCTTATGTCTGTATTGAAATATGCTAAATATAGCGGATGTAAATTCAGTGATGCAAGATGGACACTCTTTTATGTTATCCTGTATTGAAAAATCTATGTTTGACAGGTGGACACATCACTGTGGATAATATGGGTTGAACAGGAAAATCTAAGGGTATGTTTCGAATTAGTATATTTGCATCGGAACCACACTCTAGGAAAACTTGACAGATTTACTACTGACCCCAGTTTTGGGTGGTGATGATATCAGTCTGCATTTGAATTATTAATTCTATGAATTGATTTCAATTAGCTACATAAACAAGCTAGTGATCACCCGCTAGTATTAGGCTCATACTTTTGGACAAGTTAAGGCGAAAATGTAAATTAAAGATATTTGTACTTACATAGGTCAGAAGGTCCTCCACGTCTTCTCCATTCCTATTAAGAGAGCTATTCTTCTGTCCACTCACTATTTCCAGAAGTAAGACTCCAAAACTAAACACATCAGACTTAATAGAAAATTGCCCATGCATTGCATACTCTGGAGCCATATATCCACTGTAAATAAAGATAAATTTAATTAGCAATATAGTTTTAAATATTGCAAAATTTTATGTTTCTTATATTCGTTCGTGATTTTGAATCATAATTCATGGTTTTCTATAGTGTTTTTCTCTCGTAAAAAACACACGTAAAATGAGAATGGTTCTGAATCATAGTTATGAATCTATGAACTAAACATCCACTTAGTTTTAGTACTGAGTTGATGATCACACAAATTAAGAAACGGAAAATAAGATGTAGAACATATGCTTACTAGGTCCCAACGATTTGACTTGTATTGTCTTGCGTCTGATCAAACACAAATAACCTTGCCATTCCAAAATCTGAAATCTTAGGGTTCATTTCTTCATCTAGCAAAATGTTACTAGCTTTGAGATCTCGATGGATAATTCTCAAGCGGGAATCTTCATGAAGGTAAATCAATCCACGAGAAATGCCTTGAATACTTTTATAACGCGTATCCCAATCAAAACTAGGACGCTTGGTTGGATCTACATATATAATAAAAATATTGTTAAATATTGAAATACGTTTGTTGTATTAGGACATGAAATAATATACCAAACTAATGCAATCAAACAAATTAAAAGACGCATTAATATGCACATATTTACCAAAAATGAATCTATCAAGGCTGGAATTAGGCACGTATTCATAAACGAGAAGTCTTTCCTTTTCCTTCAAGCAAAAGCCAAGGAGTCTGACTAAATTTCGGTGTTGAAGCTTGGCAACTAACACAACTTCATTTTTAAATTCTTGATCACCCTGGCTAGAAGTCTTGGAAAGCCTTTTCACGGCAATATATTCTCCATCTGATAATTGTCCCTGAAAAATATATATAATATTAATAGTAGACAGAACAAAGTCAAACTCGCAATCAAGATATATTAGCTTCTTCACAATTTAAGATTAATCACACATCACTCGTTCGCCATAATATAATAATTTTTTAACCTTGTAAACCGCTCCAAATCCACCTACTCCAAGCTTGTTTTCTTCTGAAAAGTCGTCTGTGGCAGCTGCTATAGTGTCAAAATCATATAGCAAAGATTCCGCCATGATAATATCCTCGGAATTAGCTACATATATGGAGAACAAGAAATTTATTGGTAAGGACTCGTTTGATAAGAATAAACCAATGCAGATGGAAAGAATTTCGTCTCTTTATGTCAACGGAATCCTGAAGCACCAGATTAGGTAGTTGAAAAAAAAAAAAAAAAAAAAAAAAAAAAAGTACATTTAGTTTTCAAGTACATATAATATGCTTGTACATGCGTATTTATAACGGCTTAGTTACAAAATGAGAAATAAACTAAGCCTACATTTAAAATTTATGTTAGTAAATAATTTATTAATGTATATAAATTCATAGGCTTTTTTATGTTTTTATTTTTCATGTGTACATTTAGTTTTCAAGTACATATAATATGCTTGTACATGCGTATTTATAACGGCTTAGTTACAAAATGAGAAATAAACTAAGCCTACATTTAAAATTTATGTTAGTAAATAATTTATTAATGTATATAAATTCATAGGCTTTTTTATGTTTTTATTTTTCATGTTTTTAATTTTCAAGTAAGCGACAAAAGTGTGATTATCATTGTGGCTAAATTTGTTACTAGATTTTATTAGCTTACTAATACAAGATAAACACAATTTAGTTCAATTTATCATCTGAACACAAATTGAGTTATTCATAAATCCTCTATTTATAATGTAAATTTAGGATTTACCATCTGAACACAATTTTTGTTCCTTCATCAATCTTGAATTTACACGGTAAAGTCAGAACTTTACTAAGATAAACATACTTTAGTTATTCTCGTAATCTAGGATTTACCGTATAATAAAACCAAAATTTACTACTAGAAAACGAATTGTGTTATTCGTAAATCCTTGATTTACAGTGCAGATCTAGGATTTACTGTTAGAACACATATTGTATTTATTCATAAGTACTGAATTTAAAGTGTAAATCAAGGATTTACATTTACTTGATTTACTAATATAATATAAACAAATTTAGTTCTCCTTGTAAATCCGGGATTTACTATAAAAATGCAATTTATGTTCTTTCATAAATCATAGATTTACAAGGTAAATTTATGATTTACCATCAAAATACATAGTGTTTATTCTTAAATCTTAGATTTACTGGGTAAACAGCGAGGAGATAGAGAGAACATGGAGAGAGAGGCAGAGTAAATTTTATGATTTCATTTTCTTTTTTAATTACAGGCTTTTTTAGAATATTAAATTAGTGTACATCCAAATTTACACCCATTAGGCCTATTTATTAACTTATTTTAAATCTTGACCTATTTATTTTTATTGGCCTTTTAATTATGCTTATTTCCCTCAATCTTCCTTACATAATTATACCTTATAGTTATAAATTTTTCCTAAATTTCTTCTATTTTTTGAAACTAAAAAATATCTTTTCGATATGAAAAACTTATTTCAGTTTCAGACTGTGCGGTTTATAGATGAAAAGTGGAACGAAAAAAACAATACACTAAACAGTTCTGAAGAACATTGTAAACATTTAAAAAATATAAAACTTCAATAAAGGATCTGGAATTTCTATCTTATTAAGTGTTCAATTATATATATATATATATATATATATTTAGAAATTTCCTTAAAAGAAAAAATACTCTTCAAAAATGAAGTCAAACATATATTTATCTCTCTCTTTAGTTTCTTTTTTTTTTCATCCACAAAATGCGAGAAGGGTGAAATTAATATAAATTTTTAAATTTAAAGAATACTTTAGTAGTTTTTAAAAATTACCTTAAAGAAAAACTAAAAAGATCAACATTAAGAGGTTTATTTATTTACCACAAACTACCAACTGCCAAAAGAGGAGCCTGACTTCTAAAATGAATGGAACGCAACAGCAAATTACCAAATCTAACTTACTTCTTAGCTTTTCTTGACCAGGCTTCCTCAACTTTAAGAAAATGCATACGCCGACGAGCACCGCGACAATAACAGTTGGAACAACAGCAGCAACAACAGTAATTGTTGTTTGATTACTCTTTCCTGCAAAATAAATGAGGTCATGCGTGTTCTTATTAATTAGCAGCGCCAAATTGCCTTTTCTTTTGTGAGGACATGTCCTATAGAAGAAAAAGAAATTAATAAATAGAGCACCACGATACCTTCTTTAGTTAACAGTACTGATGAATGATCATCATCTGTAGCTGCATAGAATTGTGTCACCTCGTACCTCAAATTACAACTGGGTTTCAGAAGTCTTGCCCCATTAAGTCCATCGCAACACTGTGGAATGAACAAGTTAGCATTTTCGAGGCAATCACTGCACTGTTGCTTGTCCAGATCAGGAGTACACTGTGCCGTCGCATATATCTTTTCGTAGCCTGGAACGGTAGATTCTCCCGATGCGTACTTGCTTAGAGAATCCCCCGACGCAGCCGTACTAGTTAGATTGTTCAACAAGGGCTTAAGCGTAAGGCTGAACAGATCTCGATTCCACACTTTATATTTGCTCTTAACATTCAACCTTGGGTCATCGATTTTGACTGAGAATATGGACTTGTTAGAGAACCGCACCATACAACGCTCGTGCCATAATACGGCCTCCCTTCTACCTGGGCAACGCCTAAATATGAGCCTTTCACTTGAGGTATTGACGCAATTACGGCAATCTTCCTGTGACAGATCCCCTCTACACAAGGCAATTGCGTAAACTCTGTCCGGAGTTTCTCCTAGAGAAGAATTGTAAAACCCGGCTTGATTTTGGGTGTTGTTAGAGGAGGAGAAGGAGAATAAGAGACTTTTGAGACTCTCCTCGTAAGTGCCAATACTAGTGTCGTTGCTAACGTCGGAACAACTCCAGCAATACTCGGCCTCGTCCGTACAAGTGCCGGCAGATTGTGGTGCGTCGTTAGAATCGTAGAAAGGTCCGGATTCATACCTGAGATTACAACTCGGTTTCAAAATTCTCGCCCCTTGCTTTCCTTCACAACATCCTGGAATCATTGAGGTGGCGTTTTGTAGGCAGTCACTGCATTCTTTCTGGCTCAAATCCGGGGTGCATTGAAGAAGCGCAAATATGGATTCGGCATCCGGCACCGTTACATTTCCATGAGCATATTTTTTCAGCGAATCACCCGATGAGGCTTTATTTGTTAGGTCATCCAGCAACGGCTTCAGTGTCTGTTTGAACTGTTGTGCGTTTGATGTTGGTTGCGGGCTCGGTACCTCCTTGCTCGGTTCCTTTTCCTCAGCAGAAAATATCGAGTCCCTCGAGCTGTAACGTAGCATACATTTCTCATACCATAAGATTGCCTCCTTTCTATTGGGACAACGCTCCAGCAGCCCATAATTAGAATCGTTTAAGCAACTTTGGCACTTTTCTGCCGTGAGGTCTCCTCGGCATAGGGCGATCGCATTAACTTTGTTGGGGTTTTGTCCCAAAGAAGTGTTGTAAAAACCGTTGAAGTTTTGGCCGTTGGATGGCGATGAAGATATGGAGGTGAGGAGTTTGTTGAGGTTTTCTCCGTAGATGCTGGTGGCACTGTAATTGCCAACATCAGAACAGACCCAGCAGTATTCGGCTTCTGACGTGCAACCTTGCTCGGCGTCATTGGGAGTGATCAGATGGTGTATGAAAATTGAAAGAGTGAAGAATATTAGTGCTCTTGAGGAACTCATTTTGATTGTATAACGAAAGAGGTATGCCTTAAATTAATTGGTTCCTCTGGCTTATTTATTAGCCAAATTGTCTCGCCAGTCGTTTTCTACAAATCTCCTCTGGTCTTTTTTTTTCCTTTAAAATAAGTCTACCCCTGGAAATGCGGCCAATTAGGAATTCATGGTACCTATTTATGTGTTAATTATATAAATCCTATGAAAAATATATTATTATGTTGAACGTACGTGCGTATTTTGGCAATTACATTGCAATATGAGGAGATAATCTTAAACTTTTGTTTTGAACACCCTAAATCTCATCGAACATTATTTTGGTGATTGTGTTGGATTTTCTAACCCAACATTTTCGGCATGAGAAACAATAGCCCTTTTGTTCTTCTGATTGAGCCCCATTTGACAAGAAGATTATGTAATAACAAAAGTCCTCACTAAAAGTCCTCACTAAAAGTCCTCCACAATGCTTTGTTGCTTCCCGTGAGGATCGCACTTAGCATTTCGTCCACCCAGCAATGACGAGGAAGTCTATTCCCATAATCCTCCAATGGGAGAATTTTACGTCTTCCACACGTCCACCAAGTTTGTTGTCATTTCATTCACACTTCACCTCATTTCTCCCTCATCAATATTGGCCGTGTTTGACCCGACTCCCACTTTCTCACTACTGTCCATCCATATGTGGGGCATTGGCATTTACAGATAATTTCCAGGTCATTAAAAATTCTTTTTTTTATAAAATAACAGCTTGTATTTGTAGTTCTTTCCTGCCAATTTAGAAGTGGGAATTATTGGCAGCTGCACTCAAGAAAAAAAAACAACTTTTATATAAAGTAGTTAAGTATTTGGTAAATTGTAATTTTATAAGTGTTATTGATTTTAAAAATGGTATATTAATAGTGTTGAGTAAATCGTAAAATTAAATTGTCATGAGTGATTAAAATAGACATAATATGAAGATTTAAATATACATTAATACATACTTATATATTTGTTCAACTCCTTTAAAAAATGTTAAAAAAAACTTCCTTTAAAATAGGAAATATTTGTTTAATTTAAAAAAAATTAAAAAACCAAGTCTTCTTCTTCCTTTTCTTTTTTCTTTTTTTCTTTTTTCGTTTTTTATCATTAACTCTTTCTTCTTCCATAGGTTTACCGGCAGACCAAAAAGAAAAGAAAAAAAAATCCAGAACCCTAATCCAACCGCTCGGCCAAATCACCTACCCTGTCGATTGATTTTCTACCTGCTTCCCCGTCCGTTGAAAGCTAATTTGAGGTTTTTTTTTCATTGTGTTAATTTTCAAGTATTCTCTTTTTTTTTTTCTTTCTAAATCTGTTGTTCGTTATTTTTGTGCATTTTTGAGGATGTTGTTGTCTGTTTCTTATTGAATGGTATAAGTAGTGTATTGATTTCACAAAAAATGGAGTAATCGAAAGTGGGTGGATAGAAGAAATAATCTAACGTCATTTTTAACAACAGATAAAAATCGTTGTTATATGCCTCAAATATTCAACAACTCGCGATTAGACAATGGTTCTCTTATCCGTCATCTAATCTTTTAACAACGGTTATTAACGGTCGTTAAATACTAAATTTCTACTAGTGCAATAAGCTCGGGTCCCCCACCTTCTCACAAAAGAATAAGCTCCCCCCTCCCAAATATTATCCTAGGCCTATATATAATCCGGATTCAATGAGCATATAATATTTGACCAAAACACACACCATTCCAAATTGGCAATATTCTTTCTTGGTTTGGAAGATGCTCAGTTTTCATTTCATCACCCTAACAACCTAACATGCGGTCTCTGAACCATTTTACGCGTCAAATTTGAATGAGTAAGTGTGATGTAATGTGTTCATGGCTTCATTTGAAAGCTTCCCTTTGTGCTTGAAAAATTGTTTATGTTTCAAAATAACCTTACCTCAGCGACTCAACTCAAATGGAAGGTTAAACAAAAGATATACAACCCAAAAGAAAAATAAATTACGATGTTTGATTGATTTTAGATGCGATGCCCCAAGTTTTGTTTTATTCCGCTTTATTGTTAATGATGGTTTCCCAGAAAATATAGCAGACGAGTTGTAAAGCCTTTGGGGTGTAAGGTTATATTTGTAATAAAATACGATAATTTAAATATTGGGGTGTCTTATTAAAAACAGGTGTCAGTAATATTTATCTGTAATTAATTACATGACATGGTTTAATTAAGTTTATGCTTTTTCAGCTGTGGTTTCCATGCTGCGGACCGACCTACTAATGCACTTAAAACCACGTAGGTGTCTTTAATGGACTCAAATTTATTGTATAATTTTAGTGTCTTAATTAATATCTAATCAATTAAATTATTTTAACATCATGTAAAAATTTAAATTACCTTTTAATTTATTCTCTTATGCTTATTATAAAATGATATGATATGATTTAATTAATTAGACATCAATTGAAAGAACCATCTCTAATATGCTTCGTAAATAAGTAAAAAGAGACCCAGCCACCTTTTTTATTTTTCTTTTCCTTCTCCTACTACTTTTAATTGTTCCACTTTATGCGTGTCCGACGTTCTACTTTTCACATTTCGATAAGGTATATCATAATTTTCACGTCTTATATTGCCATCGTTAATTCATAGGACTTTTAGGCGAAGACTTTGAATCTCAAGCCCTTATTCGTTTCACGATTTTAATCACAACTGATTACATTTTTTACTATAATATTTTTTTATAAAAATTTAAGTTAAACTTTTTGTGTTATATTTTTTTTTATAAATTTATTTTTCAACTCAAAATCATGAAACAAATTAGCCCTGAGTTTTATTGAGTATATTAGTCTTCAAGCTGACAATTACATTTTTTATGCATATATGACCGTATCGATATCAAAATAAATATTTATTATTTTTTATGCGTATATGACCATATTAATTTTTAGCTCTAAAAATGTATTTTTTGGACAATTTGTGAGGGTGGACGGTTAAAAATCTTAATGGGAAAAGAGTAGAATGAAAAATAAAGATAATTTAAAAGTAGAATGAAAAATAAAGATATTTTTTTCTTTCAGAAGATAAAGATTACATTTTTGTTGTCAATTAATTTTGAACCAATTAACATCCAAGATACTATAAAAATTAATTGGTGGTCAGATTTTGTGCACGAGCTCCATTCATGTAAACTAATTGAAACAATGGTAAGAAAACAAACCAACTCTCAACTAGATTGTAAGAGAACAACCTGAATTTTTTTTTTTTTTTTTGGCTAATAAATTCGATTCATGCTTCTGTTTTCCAACAGAAGGATTTTGCATCCTGAAATTGTCTGCAAAATGATCAATCCATCATCATATATGACGTAGAGGGCCAATGACTAAATTTGGATGATTATGTTAGTATCGGGATCGCGGAGAAATAAAGAATAAACAGAAAATAAAGATAGTGAGACACGGAGATTTATAGTGGTTCTCCTGATAACTCATGGTACGTCCACTGTAGGGTCTTTGGTAATTCCACTATGAATATTGATGAAGAATACAATGGTGATCTCCACAAATGTTGAGAGAATACTATAGAGAATACTGAAAAGTATGTAGAAAATGGTGGAAAAGCTCCTAGAATGCTTGAAAATGGTGTAGGCGTGAAGAATATGCATGTAGCCCCTTCTTTGGTCATGCATAGGCTGATTTAATAGGCCTTGATTGCTGGAAAAATCATATAGGCAATTTTCCCATTTGACTTTTGATTGAAGATCCTTGTAATGACTGAGAAAATTCCAGACTTTAAATAATACAATTTATTTATTTAAGCCAAGGATTTTCCTAAAAAATATTATGTGACTGAAGGATTTATGGAATCAATATATGTATTCCTAAATTCTGTAGCAGATTTCATGTTAAGTTCATGTTTTCGATCAAGTAAATTCGATCGATAAATTCTTGCCGTACTTTAAGGCGGAATAATTTTCAGTACAAGTATAGTTTGAGAATCTTAATTTCAAGAATCTCCAAACACAGCATGATGTTAGTAGCGTAAAAAAAAAA